TTCCCTACAAGTTTCTCCTGAGACCCTTGTCTATCCCATCTTCACTGTGTCTTCAGTCAACACAAAAAGGTAAGTGTCACTCTTATTTTAATGTTCAAGGTTTAATTGTGAGTCCACTGGGTCTCTTTTTCTTTCTTACACTATTTAATTTGGAGAACACTGTTTTTCTTCCCCATTAAAGAGATATTGAGAATAGGAGATGAAATCAGATCCTCATAGAAACTTCATAAGAACTTGAAGAGCTGAGAGAAGGAAAAGACCTTTGTGGACTTGGATAGTAATAATTGCTACATTTTTATATAGTACCTGACCCATAATAAGTAGTTTATATCCATTATTTCACTTATCTCCACAACAACCTAGAAGATTGATGCTATTATTATCATTTTCAGCTGAGGAAACTGTTTGTAATTTAGCCACAGTTGCACAGCTATTAGTTGGCAGAGCCAGGACTAGAATCCATATTTTAACCAAAGCCCATTAGGCTGTATTGCCTCCCCTGTGTGACATTATTATGTGACAACATATTGATAATAGTTCATGTTTAATGGGTATTTACAACCTCATGGTGTAGATACCATTGTTACCCCATCTTATAGATGAGGAGACTCTGGCCAGAGGAGTAAGTAACTTGCAGCAGCTTAGTGCTGTTATAAATCCCAGCTGAAGCTACCACTATCCTGGTCAAAACTAAAACTGGAAGTGCGGGAGGCATGGGTACATGTGAGCATAAGTGGAAAAGCTCTGAAAAAGAAGTTTCTTACAGTCTGAATGTCTCATCTCGCTAAGCAGCTTTGGTTCTCTTCTCCCTATTTGATGATAAACAACTAAAGGTATTGAGCAAGGTACTTCCTAGGTAAGTTCTCCTACTCTTAGGGCATCTCACCCTAAATTGCCTTGGAGATTGGGTTGGGTGGGCAACTTTTCCCCTTCAAAGGCCATATTCCTAGTTTTTTTCACCCTTCCTTTTCTCCTCTGTCTTCTTTCATGACTATTTATTGAGGATTGAAACCTACCACAATTAGCTAATAGCATATAAACTAATTTAACGTAGCATATAAACTAATTTAATGTAGCATAAGGAGATATTAGGAGACTTGGTTGAATCATTTGAAATTTGCTCATTATGTAGGACCTAAAAAATCAGATATCATCAATTTCTTGTGGTTTAATCTATGAGTTTTACTTTAGGTAGGTTACAGATTCTTTGGATTTGTAGTTTCACGTTTGGCAAACATTTATAGAGTACCATGTGGTATTGAACTACACCGAGTTTTAGAGATGTGAAGGTAAATAACACATGGTCCTGCTATCAAGGAAGTTATGGTTAGAAGAGGACAGGCATTTAAACAAATATGTATAATAAACTGTTAAAATTGCTAGGATAGAAGTAAAGAGATTGCGGTCACGCATGCAGAGATGGGAAGAGCTGAGGTACTTAGCAAACGTTGTATAAGGGGTGGAGGGGGTCAACGACCTAGACAAGTGTTTTTTATATTACAGGCATTAGTAGTTTATCAAATCAGTTTAAGGGTATCACATCTAGCATTTTTTAAAAGTGGAATAATGCATCTCTCACGTAGTAAGTGTATTTAGTGAATACTTTTTTTTTCCAGTTATATATATGTATCTGTATTGGTCATGATGTGAAATATATTTCTCACCATAGGTTTGTCAAGTCAGTTTGAAAGCCATTTTCTAGTCAGATGCTAGCAAGACACCTTGGGATAGCATAAAGCATTAGGTAGGGTTTTTTTTCCAGTGTTTTTTCATTTGTCAGTGTCAGCTTCTGTTTAAACCCCTTGCTTTGGGTACTTGGTTTTTTTCCTTGCCTCTACTCTAGAGATTTCTATTTCTTTGATCCTTGGAAAAAGGTCATTTCGTTATAAGGCAAGGGTTACAAATTCAGTGTCTACACAGCCAGCCAGGCTGGGTAGAGACTGGAGCCAACTGGAGAAGCATGCCCCACCTAAAAGAGCATGTGTTGTGTAGCTCCAACTAGTAGATTCTTTGATGAAACAGATGTCTAATGATCTTACAGTGTCTCTTGCAAGGTTGGAAATACACATTTTTAAGTGGAATCTATAGATTTTAAAATACTGGTAGCTAATCCAAAGTTTTAAACTCTGCGAGTTGATCAAAACATTTGCTAGCTGGTTTTGGACGAAGGGCTCCTGTTTGCAATCTCTATAAGCCAGTCCCAGCGTTCTCTCCTAATGTGAAAAGGTTGCCTCAACAACATCTATCCAGCCAATTTTTTTTTTTTCTCTAAGAATTTGAGAATAGTAGGGTGCTGCTTTAGGCATGCAGTCTAGCGAGTGTATTAGCCTCACTCACTGACCAAGTAAAAAGTTGTTGGATCATAATGTGCTGGTGACTGACTTCCTGTGGGTCTGTGAGATTCAGTATTAGAGTCTACTTATCTGCAATGGTATTCCAGGAGTTTCTTTATGCCTACATGGGTAAATATTGTCCTAAGGTTTGATAAAGCAAGAAAAGATTAAATTTTAAGGGTGACATCAACTTACAAAGAAATCCTGCATATATGCAGCTGATACTGTAGATGAAATCCCTTCAACGTGGTGTTAGAAGACAGGGATTTGAGTCTTTCTGCCGTTCTTCACTAGTTACTTTACCTTGAGTAGTTTACTGATCCTGTCTGAGTGGGCCTCAGGTTTCTCATTGTTTCTAGCCCTATTACTTCATCAAGTTATGTCGATAGAAAGCCCCCAAAATTGCAAAGTCCTCTGCAAATGTTATATACATTTCTTTTCTTTTCATTATAATTTGTCAAATATTTTTAAATTATTAAATAATACTTACCAACTTTCTACTTCAAGATCTCTAGTTGAAGAACAGTCTTCTGTGGGATCCATCACATCTACTAACTTCTTGAAACAAATCAATATACAGAAAAATACTAATACCAGAGATGCAAATAAAGAAACAAAAGACCAGCTCATCATTGTGAGTAAATTTAAAACAAAGCTCCTCCTGTACATGGCTGTCACATATAGAACCTGAAGTCTGATGTGTTGTCTAAGCATAGTTACCGGGGGTTATAGATATTGAGTTTGTAAATGCTACCTTTGCTGTAGTGGCAGCATTTAAAGCTAATCAAGTACATTTTTGAACTGATGGTGTTGGGCAGTCCTAGCAACGTCGTAGAATGCTGATGAATGAGTTATCAACCTTATCCTGGATAAGGAAAATTATTGTTGATCTATAAAAGACTTAATGAGAATAGCAACATTGCATTAGACCTGGGTTTGGCAGACTATGGCTGTGGGCCAAATCTGGACCATGGCCTATGAGCTAAAAATGGCTTTTACATTTTTAAAGCGTTGGAAAAAAAGAATATGTGTGTCCTGCAAAGCCTAAAATGTTTACTTTCTGGCCCTTGGTAGAAAGTTTACAAACGCCTTTATAGACAATTCAAAATTTGGTATTTTTCAGTAGCATTAAGCAATGCCTTATGAGATACAATGGGAATTAATAAACCTTGACATTGAATATCCCTGAATTCTCTATATTCATTAATTTATCTGTGCTTTTCCTGAACTTTTACTATGTATTTTACTTATTTTTTTATCAACTCTTGGGGAAAAGACTTTCAGACTCCTAACCACTTAAGGAAAAAATACTATATAATGAATGTATAAGTCCTGAAATTTTTGCCCTGCCTCTTTGAAATGAGGCTTTTTTAGGCCTCTCGTATAAGAGCTTAATAAGGAAGTTCCATTGTTCATCTTAGCTATATTTAGGGTTTAATCTTATTGCTTCCTAGAACTATGGGTCCAGCTAAAGAATCTTGATTTTTTTTCCACTGTCCAAAGAGGCAGTTTCACTTCTTTCATCACTATTGCATGTTTAGGGCTCTTCTCATTCCATTTTGTTTGTGCAGAGAGAGAAGAAGATAGAGTAACCAGACTTTTCATTTAGTATTTCACCTGTGCCAGCATAAAAAAAAAAAAATGAGGACAAATTTGAATGAATGGACAAACTTACATGAACTAAATGTAGAGCTAACTGTGATGTGTTTAGATAGGCTTTTCTTTTTTTCTCTTCTAATTGTAGGACGCTGGTCAGAAACATTTTGGAGCCACCATGTGTAAGTCTTGTGGCATGATCTATACTGCTTCCAACCCCGAGGATGAACTGCAGCATGTTCAGCATCACCACAGATTTCTGGAGGGAATCAAATATGCAGTAAGTAAAAAAAAATAGTCGTTTCCATTTGTTCTAAAAAGTGAAGCTGCTTTTAAAAGATACATTTCTTTTGCCTAAATATGGAAAGATCTATGTGTCCAAAAATATTTCATCATCTGCAATTTTGTTGTCCTTAATATTTGAGACTGATGGTATTTAAAAGTAAAGTTTTAATAAAAGTGCCACTTCAAACCTCCTGTCCTAATATAAGAGAAGCTATTATTCTAGGTTGAGTGAACACCCTGCATCCTTACCTCTAGCTTTCAGAGCTGAGCAGTCAAGATACAAAACTCAAAGACTTGAGGAGTTTCTCCTTTCCTCACTTTAGTTTCTTCTTTATAGATAACCTTAGAAAAACGGCTTTTCTATGACTTCTCCAGGCTTTTTCTTTACTGAGAAGAGAGGTCCCACCTCTTCATCAAGCACCCTTCTACTCCAAATACATCCTATTGTTGGCCTTATCTTTATGACTACACCTGCTGCTCAAATGCACTCCCTTTTTTCCCTATTTTTATTGCTGTAGTTCATGCCTTCATAATATTTTTAGCTTTATTTATTAAAACTCTGCTTGGTGACTTCCCTGGCAGTCGAGCAGTTAAGACTCTGTGCTGCCAGTGCAGGGGGTGCAGGTTTGATCCCTTGTCAGGGAACTAAGACCCCACTTTCCGCTGGTGTGACCCAAAAAGAAAAAAAAAACACCCTCTGCTTATCCCACCCATGCCCCACCTTCACACCCCTAATAATTCATTGTTTTTTCTCTATATTCCTATGAAGTGCTCTTATTTGACTTCAACTTATTTTATAATAGATTGTTTACATGTCTCCTGATAGGGTGTCAGCCCCTGGAGGGCAGACACTTTGTTTTAGGCATCTTTTATTTCCCTTACCGCATTCCTGTAGTTGGGTTTTATCTTTTTTATATTATTCATTGTCCATCTTTTTATTCTCTCCAGACCATATTATTTAATTTTCTTCCCTCTTCAGATTAAACTGTGACTTTTATTTTTCCTTTGGCAGGGCTGGAAAAAAGAACGTGTCGTAGCAGAATTTTGGGATGGGAAAATTGTGTTGGTCCTGTCACATGATCCGAGTTATGCTATCAGAAAGGTGTGGAACATTAGTTTTTCTTTTCTTTTTTTAATTGAAGTGTAGTTGATTTATAGTGTTACTTTCTCAATCTTTGTTTTCCTCCTACTCTCCCCATTCTCTACCAAGAAATCAACCTATGTTGAACTGTAAAATGCCTTTGCTTATAGATGATCTGCTGTACTTTGGTATAGTTGTAAGGAAGACTTTCATAGTACGTGATACAAAATTAAACTTACAGTTACAAGACAAAGGAGTGTCAGGTGGAGATTAAAGAAAACAGATAAGGGTCTATAGCTTATCTTTTACCTACATCTTCAGTTTGTGAGAGAGAAACTAAACTTTTTAATATTGAGAAATTAATGGCTCCAGAGTCTAATTCTTATGTTGGTGTTGCCTTTGTTTCTTGGGCTGGTTGTTTAGCCCCAGTGAACAATGAATAAAGCTGAAATAAAATCATCCTACTCCTTATCCCTCCCAAGGGTCTGAATATCTGTCTGCTGAAAGCAGTCTTTAAAATAGTTTCTTAAAACCCTGTTTCCAAAGTGGCAGAAACATGCATCAATAGTGAAATAATTTTGGGATTGTGTGAATTTAGGAAGTAGAGATAAAAGAGGCTAAACTGATGGTAATCATACTTCTTGTGTTTATAAATATGTATATTTTCTATTATACTTTTTAAAACAAATTCACATCTTTTGTTTTTTAACATCATTAGGTGGAAGATGTCCAAGAACTTGTCGATTATGAATTGGGCTTCCAGCAAGTTGTTTCCAGATGTCCAAACAGAACCAAAACTTTTCTCTTTATTTCTGATGAAAAGAAAGTAGTTGGATGTTTAATTGCAGAGCCCATCAAACAGGTACCGTATATGTCTAATAAGTTGCTGGTATAATTTGTGAGCAACCTAAAGTAGTTGGGAGAAGAGCG